TATTTTTTGGTTGCAGCCGTCATTGTTGTTTGGCGGGTCCGGGCTGGGGATTCGAACCCGCCACCTTAGGTGTATGTGGCTGGCGCCTTAGCCGGTCGAGCTATAGGCGCCGAGCCGTGCCTTCCATATATTAACTATGAAATACCCAAACTGACAAAGATGATGATTCTAAATTTCAGAAGGAGAAACTAAAGTTCTGAGACAGTAACTTTTTTGACCAAGGTGTCAGATTAACTGGTAACAGCAAGACAGTTTGACCTCAGTGGTTGTCCCAGACCTAATCCCTCAGACCCCACACTATTCTACTTCTTCAGAAAATTGCATACCATCACTGCTTGTTATTTTAATGTTTTTCAGTGCAGCATGGTAGGAAAAGTACAAAACTTTCAAAAGAAAGATCCCCAAGTCCCTGCTCCATCACGTGAGCAAGACAGTTCCTCCTTTATTTTCTACCTAAATTGTAAGATTATCTCATGTGGAGTATTTTGCAAAGTGAAAATGTAATAGTAATAAATGCTGGCCTTTCTACTTTTGTTCTCAATAATGTTTGGTTTCTTCAAGTCAATTAAAATCTTAGGTTCGATAGAAATTTTCCTTTATGTAGGTAGTGAATTGTTCTAAAATGTTTTATCTAAATCATTATAATTAATTAATATGAGTGTTTATTTGTTGCTAAAGAGGAAAAGGTACCTTTACAGTAGAAATATCTGGAAGATGCCACCCGTTGGGGGTATCACCAATACAATAAGGGGATAAGCTGATATCCTGCGCCTTTATGAAATGTGTGTGATCTCCCTGAGCTGTTATACACGTTTCCAGAAGTACTGAGACACGGGACTTCTTATATAGTATTCCTACCCAAATCTAATCACGAAGAACAACCAGATCAACCTAGCCTACAAAACAACCCGGACTCCGAAAAAACGTCAGTACCATCATAGACCAAAAAAAAGAAAGAAAGAAAAAGCTTAAGACTGCTCCTGGTTTAAAGAGACATAAAAGTAAATACAACGTGTGATCCTGGAATGAAAAAAAAATTGGTGACAAATGGCATAATTGGCGTAATTGACAAAATTTTAGGAGATAGTATACAATAGATAATATTATTGTGGCAATGTTAAATACCTTGATTTTTATCTGTATTTTGGTTACAGAATGCCTTATTCTTCAGAGATAACACACCTGAGAGTTTAGGTCTGAAGGATCATGATGTCTGTAATTTACTTTCCACGGGCTCACCAAAAAAGTACAAATAATAGAACAATACTTTATATTTTTATATGGGCTCGTAGTCTTAATTCATTGAAGACACTATGTTGGAATAAAAGGCAATAAAGTTAAATATGAAAATGTCGGGAGAAAGAAAAAATAGTTTGATTTGTACATGATGATACTAATTTTCCAGAAATATGCCAGGAATCAGAGAAATCGAAGTATAAGTCAGATATAAAAGCAACGTTCAAAGGGGCTGAATGTTGGAAGAATTCCGACAGCGTGGTGGAAAATCCAGCCCGTGTTTTCAGTCTAATATATCTCCAGGGATACACGTAGTGTGACTCCATCCAGGACACCTCTGAGGTTAATTGTTCGGCTCAACACAACTCTCCCCTCTCTGGCGGCTGCTTCTGACACACACACTCCCGGGTTGGCCCCAGGGCCAAGTCCAGAGCGGGATCCTCAACCCGGCGGAGCCGGCCACAACTCGCCGCGCCTGCGCGCTGGCATATCTGCGGCCTCAAAGTCCCCAAGGCCTAAGCAACTTCTGGGAATAAATGAGTAAATGGATCCAGCGACAACGGAATCATTGCTTCTGGAGTGGTTAACAACGAAAAAGACCAGCGACTTTACTCAGGGCTGGCATTTAACCTACATTAGATTTTCAAGAATCGCTCTGAATCACGTCTCAGCTAAGCTGCGAAACTTAAATGAAGGCATCGTTTGCTCCTGGGGTGACCGGAGGGACAGCAGTGGTGAGAGGAGCAGGGCGGCACAACCTGAAATTCACACGCACTTCACACACTCACAGCCTGCGCGTCACACCCTAAAATCAGCCGGGTTGTCAATCCCCATCCACTGCCCACGGGGGACACACCTGCTTTGATCCTCCCCACGCGCCTTCGGGAGGAAAGGGGCGCACGTAGGGTCGTCCACCCCGGGCGGAGAGAGGTCTCCGGGACACCACTCCGGGCCACTCCCGCGCGCGGCCGCAGGCCGGGACCGTACCTCGGGCGCCGGCGACGAGGCGCCAAAGGCGGCGCCGCTGGTCCCGTCCAGGCGCCTGGAGCCGGAGAGGCGGCCGCGGCTCATGGCGGCCAGAGCCCCGAGGGGCGCTCGGACCCGGAGCCGGCCGGGTGCAGGCGGCGGCGCGGGGAGCCGGCGGGAGGTGCTGCCGCGTCGCCTCGGGCAACCGGTAAACACCGTCGGGAGGCGGAGGCGCCCGGCCGCGCACCCGCACCGCGGCCAGCCGCTGCCCGCCCCGGGGACGCGCCCGGGTCCGGGGACAGACTCGGGGGCCCAGGGCAGAAGCGGAGCGGCGGACGCCGCCAGAGCGACCCGGGGTCGGAGGGGCCGGAGGTTGGTCTTCCCGGTGGGACTCCACCGTGAGCGCAATTGCAGGCCTCCTCCTCGGGCCAGGGACAAGTGGCAGTGAGCGGGCAGGGTTACCGGGGCAGGCGTGCGTGAGGTTCGGTAGGAGCGTTCACAAAGGTGATCAGAGCATTTATTTAGCGTTGACTGTGTGCAGGTGCGTCCGTGAGCTCCAGGGCTGTCTTCATAACTGGGCAACGTGCGCGTTTGCACAGGCCCGGGTCCTGCGCCAGGTTTAACACGCTGCTGTCCCAGCCTTGAAATTCTAGGCAAGGCGTCCCGCATTTGCGCTTTGTACCGGGCTCGGCAAGTGATGTATCCTGACGCGCGCTCTTTCTTTTAACTTCCTCAAACACCCCGCAAGGAACTGTAAGTGATTGTATAACACTGGTGTTAGCAGCAGCCACGGCTTCTCTTAAATATGTGTGTTCTCCCTGAGCGGTTATACGTGCTTCCAAAATATGATTTCCTTAAATAAAACGAGATTATAAAGTGGATGTTAGAATAACCTATTTTTAAGATAAGGAAATAGTCACAGGGAAATGAAATTAACTGTCTAAGGTATACAACCGGTAAGTGGTGGAGGGGCAATCAGACCCCAGACTGTGGAACAGAAGCATAGAGGTGAGTAACCTCCCCGAAGTCCCCCAGTCTGCAGCCAAACCTGAAAATGGAACCCACAATCACTGCACTTTAAAGCCCCTGGTGGAACCATATGTAGCTCAAAACCTAAATAAAATCAGCTGCGGCATCTTTTCTTGTATTGCAGCTGATCGTCCTACCCACGTGGGGATTTTCTCTGGGGATTTCTTGGTCTTGACAATGGCTTCGATCTTGCAGTGATGTTGCCATCCAGAATCACCTCAGTATTTTCACTTGAAGCTACATTTTAAAAGAAGTTCTTAATGGAAACTCTTTCCAGAAATCTCCTATTAAACGTGTAATTTGTAGTAAGTGTGCTTTTGAGTTGCAGCTTTTCCTTGCAGTAGAATCATTACAAACTTTCCAGATTTTCAGTAAACTGACACTTCCAGAGGAAACACAAAAGTAATGAAAATTCAAGGCACTTGGAAAAGAACCAACCTGAGAAAGCCCCCTTTTTAGTAACTCTGATCCAGTTGTTTCAGAAGTCTATGTTATACAGTCTCTTTCTGGTCACTTTGGTTAACCTGGAACTCTAGGAATAGAAGATAAGAATTTGTACAGTCTTTAAAAATTGGTGCAAAAATTTTTTTTCTCTGTGGAAAGCAATGTACTCTTGTGCCTGGCTCACTCCTGCCCAGATGCCTTTGAGGTCTGGGGGAGGTCAAGACATGAGCCAAGTGACTCTTCAAGGCAGACTCTCATCTAAGGACAGGATGTGATAATGTCAAGGGAAAGAGTGGGAGGACCCTGAGGTTGGACCCCAGAGGGCATGATACTTAGGACCAGCTGGGACCGTGGTGATGGAACCTCGCAAGCTGGGAGTGGGGGCCGCTCCAGGTCTGATCACAGTTTAAGCATAGCAGGGAAGTAAAACTGCACAAAGATTGGTCCATTCCAGACTTCTCAGAAAACTCTGTGAGGGAGCTAGGGTCTGCAGTATCTCTGCTCAGACTTGACTTTTCTTTACAGTGACAATACACAGGAAGCTATAAGCTGAGTTACCCTAGTACAGGCCATCCAACTCTGCCTCCAGAGGAAATAGAAGTGGTGATAGTGAGAAGGGGAAAGATTTAAAGGTGGAATTGGCTGGTGTCAGAGTTTATGAGCCAGGCTGGACATTTGGTAAGGCCGTACCAGGCAGCAAGGAGACAAAGCAGAGGAGAGAGAAGAGGGGGTTCAGTTTGGGACATACAGAGTCTGAGGGGCTGATGGGAGAAGGCAAATAGATATTTTGCTGTGTGAAACAGGAAGTCCACGGCACATCAGCCTAAACCAGGATATTCAGCTTACTGTGCTTTGGGACTTAGTGATGTTTCATTATCTACAATGTACAATGATCAGATCAGGGTAGTTCGCATATTCATCATGTCAAACATTTATTGTTTGTTTGTGCTGGGGACATTCAATATTCTCCTAGCTATTGGAAACTATACCATATATTATTGTTAACACTCATCATCCTATAGTGGGATAGGACACTAGAACTCATTCCTCTTACCTAGCTGTAATTTTGTACCTTCTTTTTGTGAGAAAAAGTCTCACTTTAGAGTCCTGTGGCCACATAGCTCACAGCAACCTCCAACTCTTGGGCTCAAGCGATTCTCTTGACTCAACCTCCCAAGTATCTAAGACTATAGGCCCCCTCCACAATGTCTGGCTGTTTGTTTGTTTGTTTGTTTTAAAGGCTGGGTCTCGCTATTTGCTCAGGCTGGTCTGGAACCTGTGAGCTTAGGCTAATCCACCCACCTAGGCCTCCCACAGTGCTAGGATTATAGGTGTCAGCCACCCCGCCTGGCCATAATTTTGTACCTTAAACAAATATGAGCCACTTTTATAAGGGCACTAATCTCATTCATGAGTGTGGAGCCCTCATGGCTTCCACATGAAGGCCCCACCTCTTAACTATCAAGTTGAGAATTATGTTCCAACATAAGAATGTGTATATGTGTGTGTGTGTGTGTGTATGTAGGGACATCAACATTCAGACTATAGCAAGTTGTTTAGGAAAATATTAAAATCAAGCCTGCATTTTTAATCACTCTTTACACAACTAAAATGTCTTAGAAGAGCTTCCAGCGATAAGCTTTTAAACATAAGTCAAAAGCATCAAAAGTTATCATATTACAAATTTTCCTATGAGAAACATGGACATTTGTAAAGCAAACAAGGAAACAGACAAAAGGAGGAAACCAAAGACATAAACCTATGACTCCACAAGAAAACCCCAAAATAGAAGCTCTAGTCTGTGGCTAGGACGGATAGAGCCTTTCATTGCCCTGAAGAGCTACTTCCCAGGCGTTTTTATTGTCCCTGGTACCACATTTATTTCACATGTATTCCAACATACTGAGAATACCAATGTAGTTCAGAATAACTGGAGTTGAGGACAGCCTGGGAAATACAGAAAGACCCGTCTCTAAAAAAAATAAATAAAGATAAATAAAAATAAAGGCCAGATTTGGTGGTTCACACCTATAATTCTGGCACTCTGGGAGGCTAAAGTGGGCAGATCACTTGAGCTCAGGAGTTTGAGGCCAGCCTGAGCAAGAAGGAGACCCCATCTCTACTAAAAAAATAGAAAACTTAGCCAGGCGTTGTGGCAGGTACCTTGTAGTCCCAGCTACTTGAGAGGCTGAGGCATGAGGATCACTTGAACCCAGGAATTTGATGTTGCTGTGAGCTGTAATGACGCCATAGCACTCTATGGGTGACAGAGTGAGACTGTCTCAAAAAAATAATTAAAACCTTAAAAATAACAAAAAATAAAAATAAAGGTTTTAATTGTGTAAGATAAGCAAAATCCTTCTTATCAAAAATGTAAAGGATACCCAGGATGATGTCACATGCCTGCAGGCTCCATTACTCAGGAGGCTGAAGTGGGAGGATCAATGGGCCCCATGTTCAAGGTTGTGATGAGCTATGATTAAGTCGCTGCACTCCAGCCTGGGTGACAGACACCCTCTTAAAAAAATGTGTAGTACATTTCAAGGTATTTTAGGTGGTAAATATAAGGTTCTAAAAACATCCATGAGTGCGTATTTTCTGGACCTATATGATTTTTATTTGACTACAGTTCAGTACTAATTCAATTTTAATTGCTATTGCTTCAACTAGTCAAAAAGTTTTGTTATATGTAATTCCACTATTTATGACCTTACTAAAGTGATCTTTAAACTGTAAAATTGCAAGTTAAGAATAGTATAATATTTTAGGAACAATTTAGAGCAATAAATTGGGCCATTGGTGTCCATATTTTTCTATGCTAAGGAGAGAGAGTACTTTCTAGCAAATTGCCAGAAGAACTACCTTACCATGTGTCTCTGTATAGGAAAAGTGTCAACCAACCAGGAAGATTAAGGGTAGGGATGAAGCAGGAGCTGTAAGGCTGTGGTCCCCAGCCCTGGGCTGTGGGCTGCTACCGGTCCATGGCCTGTCAGGAACCACGCCACCCAGCGGGAAGTGAGAGGCGAGCAGGTGAGCAAAGCTTCATCTGTATTTTCTGCGTTCTCCATCACTGGCATCCCAATTTGAGCTCTGCCTCCTGTCAGATAGTGGCGGGGTTGGAGTCTCACAGGAGCTGGACCCCTACCGTAAACGATGCTGGGAATCTAATGCCTGCAGATCTGAGGGGGAGGTGTAATGCCCTTGAATCATCCCCGGATCATCCTCTCAACTGCCTTCCATGGAACCAGTCCCTAGTGCCAAAAAGTTTGGGGACTGCTGGTGTAAAGACTTTCTTTGACTGCTCTCACAGCTAATTATTTCTAAAGTCTTTTCTCTGTGGGGTTCCCTTAGAAGATCTGGCATCTGGTTTTGTTTCTGTTTTTGTTTTGTTTTGTTTTTTTGAGACAGAGTCTCACTCTGTTGGCCCAGGCTAGAGTGCTGTGGCATCAGCCTAGCTCACAGCAATCTCACACTTCTGGGTTCAAGAAATCCTCCTGTCTCAGCCTCCTGAGTAGCTGGGACTGCAGGTACCCACCACAACACCCAGCTAATTTTTGTATGTTTAGTAGAAACAGGGTCTCACTTTTGCTTAGGCTGGTCTCAAACTCCTGAGCTTGAGGAATCCTCTAACC